CTGATCGTGATGCGCGAAAGTATTTTATTAGTGTTTCGGTAGAAGGACACAATTTAACTTTTGAGGTAGATTCGGGTGCGGGATTTACCTTAATACCAAAGTATTTATTCGATAAGCTAGGTATAAACTGTAAACTTGACCAAGCAAATGTTCTATTTCGTGCCTACACTCATCAAATTTTTCGCCCTTATGGGAAAATTACTGTAAACGTTCAATATCGTAATTCCAGATCAACTGAAGACATGTATGTTGTTCCAAATCACTTAGATCCACTTTTAGGCAGAGTTTGGATTCGCCATCTAAAAATCAACTTGGAAGAAGTAGATGCCGACAGTTTCCATAATAATTCGTGTCCTATTAACAAGATTACAAATGTTAATGATATTCGTACACAGTTTTCTAAAATTTTTGAACAAAGGATCGGGTTAATTCCAAATGTAACAATTTCATTAACACTTCGAGAAAATTCAAAACCAGTTTACGTTCCGGAAAGAAACTTACCGTATGCTCTTCAAGAAAAAGTCGAACACGAGTTAAATTTACTCGAAGAACAAGGCATAATTTCAAAATGTCCTAAAAGCGACTGGGGTTCACCTCTAGTTGTTGTTCCTAAACCGGATGGGAAAGTCAGACTGTGCGTTGACTATAAAATCGCTGTGAATGACTGTTTAGTCAATGTGAACTATCCAATAAAACGCATTGACACTGTTTTAAATAGTCTACGGAACTCAAAATTTTTCTGTAGATTAGATTTGTTCAAAGCCTACCTACACTTAAAGGTAGACGATGCAAGTAGTTCAATCCAGACAATTTCGACACACCGGGGAACATTCAAAATGAATCGTTTAAGTTTTGGCATAAAAACGGCTCCGGCAGAGTTCAACAGGATAATCGACCAAATATTGCAAGGCCTTCCGAAAACCATATCATATTTCGATGATATCCTAGTGCACGGATCAACATATGAAGAATGCGCCGAAAATTTGTTTCAATGTCTCCAAAGACTTCAAGAGAATGATTTACACCTGAATGAGAACAAATGCTCGTTTTTCAAGGACGAAGTTGACTATTTGGGGTATGTAGTTCGATTTAACCAAATTTCAAAAGATCCAAAGAAAATTGATGCCATTAAGAACATGCCAAGGCCCAAAAATGTAGCCGACGTTAGAACATTTCTAGGCATGATTACGTACTACTCCAGACTACTCCCAGATTTATCCACTATGACAGCACCGCTTCGAAAGCTCCTAACAAAGAATGCGAATTTCTATTGGTCCTCACAATGTGAATCTGCCTTTATAAAACTAAAAGGTGAAATTACCAGTGACCGCGTTGTCGTTCCATTCGAGCCAACATGTCCAGTAATTCTATCAACAGACGCTAGCCCCTATGGTATCGCTGCAGTACTATCACATGTAGAAAACGATGATTTGGAAAAGCCAATTGCATTTGCGTCGCGTTCATTGACACAAGCGGAACAAAACTATTCGCAACTAGATCGAGAAGCGCTTGCCATAATATTCGGGGTAAGCCATTTTCAACAATATTTAATCGGAAGAAATTTCACTCTAATTACGGATAACCAACCGTTAGCTCGTATTTTTCATCCAAAAGCGAAAACTTCAAAAACAACATCAGCAAGGCTTATTCGATATGCCTCATATTTATCCAGTTTTGATTTTAATATTCAAGTTAAACGGGGCGTTGAAAACCAAAACGCAGATTGCCTTTCAAGGGCACCCATTAAATCAAAAAATTCAATGTCATTCGACGCATTGCAAAACGAAGAAATGCACGAGGTATATGAAATGACAATTTTTGATATTTCAACTGACACCATAAATTCTGACCGTATTAGAGAAGAAACCTGCAAAGATCGAGAACTACAAGAGATCATCGAAGAATTAAGTTCGACTTCTAAAGACTCTTCATTCACAATCGACCATGGAATACTATTTCGAGATCAACGTGTTGTAATTCCCAAATCAATGCAAAATGAAATACTTCAAGAACTACATGTGACACATTTAGGTGTTACAAAAATGAAACAACTGAGTAGAAGATATTGTTTCTGGAAAGGAATCGATAAAGACATTGAAAGTTTCGTCAAAGCCTGCCCCGAGTGCATCAAAATCAAACATAGTGCATCGAAAGTACCGCTACACCATTGGGAGATGCCTAACGAAAATTGGGATAGAATACATATAGACTATGCGGGTCCCATAGGCAATCAACACTTCTTGGTAGTAGTAGATGCGAAATCCAAATGGGCAGAAGTACGTGTTTTAAATGACAGTCCTAATAGTTTAAATTCAATTGAGCTATTAAATGGTATATTCTCAACACATGGATATCCCAAACAAATCGTCTCTGATAATGCAACCATTTTTACCAGCAAGCAGTTCAGCCATTATTGTCGTGATCACGGGATAAGACAAAAATTTATAGCTCCAGGGCACCCCGCAACAAACGGGTTAGCAGAACGAAATGTGCAAACGCTAAAAAGACGTCTTGAATCAATGAGAAATGAAAAATCATCTATTTCTGTAAAACTACAAACCATTTTGCTGCGTTATAGGGCAACCCCACTTATAGATGGGAAATCACCAGCAGAAAACTATCTTCATAGAAGGGTTCGAATTCGATTGGATGCGATTCGACCATATTTCGAGGGTTCCTCCAGTTCAGCGACTCCACCTGTGCGTTCACTTCAGGAGAAGGAGAGAGTGATTGCAAAATGCTTCGCAAATAACAAAATCATATGGAAACCGGGTACAGTGCTCAAGAAATTCGGGAAATTGCACTATTTAGTCGAATTAGACGATGGGTATAAATTTAAACGTCATATTGATCAGCTACAAAAAAGTGGACTGAAATCTGTTAAATTTCAAGATCCACCAGAGCCCCGTTGTCAGAAACAAGACGAAGAAGATACATCAAAGGGCCTTCACTTCCCACAAGATGAACATTCACACTACCAAACGATGCTGGATGCTACAAGGCAAGACGTTCCAGTGTTGGATACACCAGTTCCAGATGTACAAGTTTCGGTTCCAGAACTACGGCGATCAAAGAGAGACATTAGACCACCAGCAAAATTAACTGATTATGTTCTTCAATAAAGTAGGGGAGACTATTGTAAAGTATCTACGCCACTGTGTGCGCAGCTATTGCGCATGCTTGTAAAACAGTCAGGATGGTGTGTGGCTGGTGGTATAGAGTTGAGTATGATTTTATTCGATATATTATATTAATACATTTTGTGTAAATAAAGTATTGTGTTGTGTATCAATTTCTAATTCAATAATGAATACCGTTATATATATCTCTATCTCTCTACGGGAACACAATAGGAAGCATACCTAAATTACGCGCGTTTGTGAAAGCTTCAACCAAAGGATAGGTACAAAAGCCAAAGAAATGTTCTGCATTTACAGAAAGCGACCTAAGAGGATTTTTTTATTTCATCCAGATGACAGTTTCAAAAGTCATACTTGAAGTATCGTTACTTTAGCAACTTTAAAGCACGTGTGTTTTAAAGGCCCTTTTTCGCACGCATTTGAGTGTTTAAAACGGAGATTGTGATTCAGGTATAATAAAAAAAACCATTGTAAAGGGTGTGGCATTTTTAACGCACATTTTAAATTCGAAATTAAACACATTAAATAATTACGAAATTGAAATATTTTTATTGGAATTTGAAGTTGTGTTCATGACATTACGTATGGAATATAACATCATTTAAATGGCCACCTCTGGCTTGGTGGCCACATGCCACACGGCACGTGAAACCATGCAGTTATTGCGTGGAAAATTCGGAAATCGCATAATTTCTCGTTTCAGCGATGTTAACTGGCCTCCAAGATCTTGCGACTAACCCCATTGGATTTCTTTCTTTGGGGTTTTCTTAAAAGCAAGGTTTATGTGAACAATCCTGAAACCATCGATGCATTGAAGGACGAAATTCGTCGCTGTATTGAGGAGATTGAACCAGAATTATGCGAAAATGTTATGGAAAATTTCAATAAAAGAATGCGGTCTTGCCACCAAGCCAGAGGTGGCCATTTAAATGATGTTATATTCCATACGTAATGTCATGAACACAACTTCAAATTCCAATAAAAATATTTCAATTTCGTAATTATTTAATGTGTTTAATTTCGAATTTAAAATGTGCGTTAAAAATGCCACATCCTTTATAATACATACCGGGTGAATATTTTAAAACCGAACATAGGCAATTAACATGGGAAAAACGGTTTTTGCATATCGTTGCTCCCCATATGTTAACTTAGAGGGTTTATAATGACACCATTCAAAAGAAGAGTTTTTTTTTCATCTATGATATACGAATTATTTTATTTTCAGGTGTATTTCTCATTATTTTATCAAAAATTCGGCAATAAATCCAATTAGCAAAATCATGTTAAGCCATGGAAATTTCCTGGTTTTGGCACAGACGGAATGGCACGCTCATTAAAATGCCCGGAAAACAAATATCGCTTACTAGAATAAATATTTCCGCTGTAAGCGTTGTTTATTATAAATACTTTTTCCTCAGTGAACCGCATTTTACAGAAAAATCAATGCCAGTTGTCATAAACTGATATTGATTTCGACGTTTGAATCTGATTTTTGTCTTACTATAGTCATGGCTTAACATGATTTTGGTAAGTGGCTTTATTGCCGAATTTTTGATAAAATAGTGAGAAATACACCGAAAATGAACTAATTCGTATATCATTAGACGAGGAAAAAATGTTCTTTCGATTGGTGTCATTATAAACTCTCTAAGTTAACATATGGGGAGCAACTATCTACAAAAAACCTTTTTCCCATGTTAATTCACTATGTTAGGTTTGGGAATATTCACCCGGTATAATGTTAATGGTATTAATATTGCCATGGTTCCTCTAATACAAAAAATAGACAATTGTAAAAAAAAACCGGCAAAATAAATATTTAATTTTAAAAGGTCAAGAATCACATCACACGTTAGTAGGTAAGTGTATAAAATGCAATATTACTACCAAATATATCGCCAACAGTTGTGTGTGGTCACCCTGTATATAAAACTAGATAACAAATCGCCGTCTGTCAGGTGTCAAAGCATCAGCTGTTTGTTATTGTTTACTTTTTACATACATTTTGGTATCTCTGAAATGGAAGGCACAGTATTCGACGAAACCTTGCTCGCTATTTTGAAAGAATGCCACACGTTACCAAATTTCTTGGATATTATTTTTGGATTCCTCAAACGAAGGTAAGTACACGTAACCAATGAATTTAATGTAATGCTTTACATAACTGCAGAACAGACTTTTACTGTATTGCCACAGATCCAAAATCTGCAATTGGGTTACCTAAAGGATGGGCAGAATATTTCGTTAAGGAAGCATTCGTTAAATGGAAATCTAAAGATGCACAGCAAGAACTCGAACAACACAATCCTGCAGTTACATCTAAGACGCCAGCTTGCAATAGCAATCAGTCAGAACAGACTTTTTCACCTTCGGACAGCTACAATGGTGCAGTGCATGAAAATTATACTTGGTCTCAAACAGTAAACGAGGTTAACATAATAGTGAGACTTCCCGAAATGTCGACTGCGAAAGACATTGAAGTTCTAATACAATCACAAAAAATACGTGTAAAGCATAAAAAATCTGACAGTATTTTACTGGCCGGAGAACTTTGTGAAAAAGTTAAACATAACGATGCAATCTGGTCCCTTGACAAACGAAAACTCGACATTCACCTCGACAAATCGTCTGAAATGTGGTGGAATTGTTTAACAAAAACTGAACCGAAGCTTGACATTTCGAAATTTGACTGTTCCAGACCGTTTGACGAATTATCCGAAGAAAACCAAGCTCAAATTGAGGAGTTGACTTGGAATCAGGAAAGGAAACTGCACGGTTTACCAACAAGCGAAGACATTAAGATGCGTAACAAGTTGGCTAAAGCGTTTGCTGTCGAAGGTTCACCTTTCAAAGGAGTTGATCCAAGTACTGTACTTATTGAATCTGATGGTAGTTTCGGGGCCACCGACTTTTAAATGTTATATCTATCTATTTATATTTTTTTGTATTGTGCTTATTTTATTAATAGATTTATAGAAATTTTGGCACGTAAACCAAATGGTTTTATTGTCAAATAATATATACAATATATACAAGCGGCTCGGATCGTAGGCGAAGCGTGGTTTCAGCGGGTCTGAGCTGGCGGATCGATCGGGGAGTAATGGTCAGCTGTAGACGGAGCCGGTAGTCGAGGTCGCGTTCAGCTGTAGGCGGCTGGAGCTGTTGAAGATCTCGAAGCGCGGATGCCACTACTCTCTGCTCGCAGGAACGCCGCTTATAAAGGATTCCGACTCGCGTCGTGTGCTGTCATTGGCCGGTACGTTTCGCCAATGCGATGGGCGCTAGGGCTCACTACGGAACAAGCCGGCACACGCTCGCCACAGAAATTATAGATCTCATTGTCTAACCTGTTCCTCCATAGAAAGTATAAATTGTGCACAACTTTTGTGCAGATAAAGCACATTTTTTTAAACCGAAATAGCTTAGTAAAGAGCGCCTGGCATACATTCAAAATCCTCCCACACTTCATTTTGCAGATTTTGCCTTTGAGAGTAATTTCCTCCAACAAACCGTTATCGAGATATTCACTCTTAAAGCTTTGACATCATCAATGGATATATTTCTTCCAGACGTCCCAATCGCCCTTTGTGAGTACCCTCTTCTGACAATCCGTTCTGGAGATAGAAGGGAATATATCTGATCAGTGATCATGTTAAGGAGCCGTCACCCACTGAACTCGAAAAAGAGTCGCACAGGAAAGTTATACTTTGTACAAACCAATTTATTTTAATTTAGCGAGACCTTCCATTTGAATACCATATGAAGGGTAGAACGTGTGTTTACCCCCCCCCCCTTTTTCAAAAATTTAACTTGGCACCACAGCATGCGTAGATATCCAAAATCTGAGACCAATTGGTTGTCGTATGTAAAAGTTATGTACGTTTCACTTTCAAAAACAGCATCTCAGGAAATAATTCATGGCCCCCCCCTTTAAGACAACGAAATGTTTGGCACACCCCACAGGTATGCTACCTACTACTGCAACAAATTCCATGACTAGGTCTTAGGACCATTCCCCTATAGAAGCAGTTCAAAACGGCAGAAGTGGGTCCGGACGGATGGATACCTATAACACGCAAACAATAGCACATTTCTTTTTAATTCTTAAAAAAATGTGCTAAAAATAAATGAGATTGTCACACCGCTATTTGTCACCAAAAATGACTTCAAAAGACAAAAGGCCACAATAAGTATAGATTTCCACAATTACTCTGCTTGCCCAAAATTACAACAGACTCAAAATTTACTGGGTTCAAATAACACTCTGGTCCTTATTCACTTTGAGAAAGAATTTTTCTCGCGTAGATAAAGAATCTTATGACAGACATGATAAATAAATAGCCAAATTCTATTCTATTCTCGTTATAATGTGTTTAATTTTTTGTTTTTACATTTTTGAACACCTAACGGTCGTATATTTATTTCTTGTTCCAACAAATTACAAATGAATGAAATGAATTAGAATAAAGCTTGAATAGCTACAGACTGATAATGTATGAGTAGGGGAATTGGTTATCACAACTCGCCAATACACGTAAAGCGAGGCTGATAAACCATTTGTATCAATTCTCGAGTAAGGGTATACCCTATTCTCGAGTACCAAACTAGCGACTAGCGGAATTCGTTTTCGTAACTAACGCCAGGTAGAACTTTAAGCAAAGCCCTTTCAGGTAGGATAGGATTAAAGAGGGGTTATATTTTCAAGTCTTAAAAATGACAGTAGAATTAGTAGAATTTCACTTAAAAACCTACTAAAACAACCCAATGTTTACCCATAAACGCCATTGGTAAATTACATCAGCGCCTCTAGTGTTAATTTGAATCGCCAGTTTTTCCACACCTTTCCTGTTGGCCGAGTATTCCTGATGTATGATACGCCACTGGAGCGTAAGATTGAAATGTGCTTTTCAAAGTCAAAGAACTAGTATTTGATAAATAATCTAGAAAACGCTTTATACCGACCACTTAAGATAAACAGAGCTATATTTTTGAATAAACGAACAGGAAAAGTTTATCGTCTATTCAAAAATTTGTTAATAAAAAGCTGGGACATGCGCAGAACGAAACGTCAAAAAAACGAACTCGCATTGGTTATTAAAATATGGCGTTTCTCGTTTAATTTGTGAAAATTTTCTAGTAAAAGTATAGGTTAAAAAATGTCCGTTGTAAATGAAGTTAAAGAATTTTATACTAACGATATCGTATACCGTTTCGATAAGCGTAAAAAAATTAACTTCGGTGTTGTTGTCGATAGCTACGAAGCGTCCACAGATGCGGACGATAGTAGCGAATTACAAAAAGGTCAAATTCGAGTTTGGTGGCTTAACAGCTCCAGGGCTTCGGTCTGGAAACAGAATAAGGTACGCTTGATGAGCCGAAGTATCATTCCCGGTGATATAGTCCGTCGACTAGAGAATGGGACCGAAACGCAAAGGGGCTATTGTAAAGAGGCAAAGCAGTTTGCAACCGTTCAAATTGTTGGCACTGACAAGATTATTGAAAGAGTTACCAGTGAACGGTTAAATACCGTTTCACAGTTCGATAATAATGTCGCCGTGTGTCTCGATAATAAGTATGGAAGAATACAGGTGAGTTCACTGAGTGCCTTCAATTCTTATTGCTTGGATTATGTTAGGGTATTGATCAAAAAATTAAAATGCAATCAAAATGTGGCTCAACCGTCGAAGTATTCTCGAGTATTAATCACGACGTCGAAGATTATTGGTTAACTAAAAGGAACAGAAGTTATTTCGATATATTTTATCCCGGCCAGGAAGTGGTTAGTATTTCAGGATTTTGGCTCGGGATATCATCTTGAAATGTTCTCTTCCAGGTTTGCACTCCAAATAATTTAGAGCAGCCGCAGTGGGTACACCGGTCTAAAGTGATGAAACGCTCGATGCAATCACGCCAAAGGTTCACTGTACAAAAGGTCGAACCTTTAGACATTGAGGTTTGCTGGTACGATTCAATGTCTAGCACTCATCTTGCGGATGTTAAACCCGAAGATGTTCCCAGGTACGTACGTTATGTGTTTATCAGATATTGATATGCTTATTTGGAATACCCTGTATACAGATGCAATAACAGGATGTGGTTAATTTAAATTGTTCTCCTCTGGGTGATAATTATGTGAAAAAGTGTGGTACCAATTACAATAAAATTGTTATTTGTGGTTTTACTTTTTGTAAAATCCCCCAAATGTTATTGACAATGAATTGGAGAGCATTGACATTACTTTAGTTTCCCATGGGAACAAATTCTTTTCATTCCTATAAAAACATTCCTGCCTACCTCCATTTAAAATAATTTAATTTTTGCACTTAAAAAGTTCTAAAATCCTTAAGTCCCAAATACCTTCTGCTTTAGAGAAACTCGAGCAGAAACCATACCAAATAGATGATCATTTTTGTGGGAATACTATACATTCACATATGAACATCAGACACACTGTAGAAATAAAAAATTCCTTTTGGCTCGGCTCGGCCGATCAGGTGTAGGTATAAGTTTCTTGCCGCCATTTTGTTCCAATATGGCGGACTTGACTGATTCACTAAACTAAAATTTTTTATGAGTTGCACCAACCCTTAAAGTTTGGTCGAAATCTGTACATAATTACCAAAGAGCTGAACATTTCTTGGAAGTGATATATATAGGGTGTCTTAAATTGACTAGGATAACATGGCTATGTTTGTTATTATTATACTTACAAATTCGGTTAAATTGGCAAAGTTGTGTAGTTTTTGATGCTGATGGATATTCCGATGTGATATTTTCAAAAAAACAAATCGTTTCGTAGATAATTGGAAAAAAGGGAAAATCGCCATTTTTAAAAAGTTGAAATATTTTAGTAACACCGAGAGCTATCGAAAAAAGTTTAAAATAAAAGTTGCAAGATTCGATGGGATAAATTCCGAGATAAATTCAATGGACATAGAAAAAACATTTCAAAATGGCGGTTTTCGAGATATTGACATTAACTTCATTATTTTAAATGGACGCCATATTGGATTTTTACTCAGTTTGATACAGTTTTTTTTTCTCTTTCCAGCCATGTACAACAAATTATCATTCAAATAATAAACATGGGTAAAATTACAATTTTCATTTTTTCTTCATAGTTGGAATCTCGGTTGGAATGGCTAGTTCGCTAGTCCTGGATGCACTTTTCAAATTAATATAGGAGGTAGTGTGCCAATATCGGCCAATATTGATATTGATATATGTCGCCACTTCTTGGTAACGTGAAATACATTGACCAGTCTAACATAAACAAGTAATTCCAACGTTTATTGCCGTTTAAAATAATTTTATTAATAAAAATAAAAACAGAATTGATGACGTGTGTGCAAACTAAGGAAAATCCTACTTTACATCTTTATATGGTCTTATAGAGACTGGTGTTTATTGTGACTCTTCCAGAGATCACCGCTCTTCCACCGCTATTGGGATTTCTTCAGATTCTGTTGTCAATCGAGCACTCGATACCAAGGTCTCTTTATCCTGGTTCAAAAACGTATTATTTCGGTTTTTGCAGTTGATCGATAAATATTTATCTTTGAAACGCGAGTACGCGCAAATCTTTTGACAATAGAATCTTGGCAGAATTTTGTGTGGCTTGGTGAAAACATTTCAGAACGCTCCCTAACTCAGTCAGGAATTGCCATTCATCTGCAGCTGGCACTTCATTTCACCGCGCTCCGCCATATAAAGATCTACAACTGACTTGTGTAACAGGTCGTCGCTTTAGTAAAATTTTTTTGTTAAATTTACAAACTAACTAACATGCGAGCAAATAAAGCGCGTTAAGATAAGAAACGAGTGCTCAAGTAGATAAGAGTCGAAAAGCTACAGTGTTGCCGGTTCTAAGAAACCATCCCGACGGGGAATGAGGGACGGTCTTTCTATTATACATTCACATGACAAAAAAGCTTAGATTTAGTTTTATCACTGGTGCTAGGCGAGTACATAAGTAAAAATTGGGTGTGAGTCAGTCAAACTTTTGAAGAGAATCTACGCAGGTGCCAAACCTACGTTACGTAAGCGCTGAAATTTATAGAACGAAATTTTCCCAGGGGAATCACGTGAGTTGTGTAAGCCGTTTTTTGAGATCGCGTAAAATTTTATTGGTAATTAAAAGTTCGAACCGCAGTATATAAAAAATCTTTGACTGCGTAACCGAAAATTGTGCCGCCATTTTCGAACAAGAGGCGTTTTTATGCAACTTCATCATGTAGTGAAATCTAATGGACGGCAGTATGAATGGTTAAGGGTAAGCTCACAAATTCGATTCGTAGTATTATGGGATTAGCATGCTTTCATTTAAATAAATTGCTACCACGAAAGCGTTAAGGTCCAAGGTGCAATACTTTTCATTGCGCTATATTTGGAGTGACTAGTTACGTTAAAAAACAAGTTTTATCAAATAAAACTGTGCACCTCTTTTGTGTATAAGGCGTGTGATTAGATCTACTTTTAACGCCAACCGGTAAAAAAGTTAAAAGACAATTAATTCGTTCTTTTGTTGACTGTAAAATTCTAAGTTGTAAGGATAAATTAACCAAATTCCAACTAATAAGTTGAATTTTCAGTTCAGCAATACCATTCTTTTGTGTATGTTAAATTTTATCTAGCATCCAGAGACGTGTACATTTTCAATTACATTTTGTACCAGATGTTTGATTAATTAAGAATATAATAAATTCTAGGTTAATTAGATTGGAAAAACTTTATTTTGTATTAGTTACATGAAGTACATCAATCAATTACAAAAAAAATGTTATGAAAACTGGAGTTGGTAATAAATTATTTTCAACAAATTGTTGAACAATATGTCAATTTATATGAGTACTTATTTGCTTGCTCACTGTTCTTTACGAAATTTTTTAATTGAATTCATCTTTGTTTTTGAAAACTGCATCATGGATCATTATTTGCAAAGTGTGCGCAACACATCCAATTAAGTGTAAATTTCAGAACCTAATAGCAGCATTTATATTTGCAGCCTTGTCGTATATGCTCATGTGAATTTTCTCATTTATTTTATATTCATCGATGACTTCCGTTACAGTGCCCCCTCTTTGGTTTCAAAAAGCCAACAGGTCCTTCCTAACTTAGTTGGCACTATTACTAACTTGGTAATTATAAGAAATACAATGTCGATTAAATTAGAGAACTAGTGTGTTTCTTACGCTGATTACAATAGTGGAAACATAAAAACAATTGACAGTGGCATTCTCAAAATATTGACATAAACGCACTTTTTTCTCACTATGTAACATTCCATTATCACACTTTTCTAAATGCGTAAATAACTTAACATTTTGTAGGGAAATTCTATTTTTGGCAAAAATAAAATTTTCGTTGAAAAAGTGTTTGAATCTTTTCGATATTCATTCTGTGTTCTGTTGACGAGAAGTGTTCGACTGGCGTACCCTTCTAAATGAATAGTAAACCTGCACTTTTGTGGCGTCCCCGGCAACAGTCAGAACGAAACTTGTAGGTCCGAAGATACCGTGGCAACCGCGCTCGCTTTCAGCAATACGGTTCTTGTTATCATACATACTTTCGTTCACGTTCGCTATGAAGCGGTACATGTGGAAATTTTCATATGTTGACCCAAATACCAATTTAAAACCAAGTTTTTGAAAACGACTAAGCGACCTCCTATTACAACATGACATTTATAAAGAACGATATATAGAACAATAAATGACAAACGTCAAAAAAAGCCAACTCTGTTGTTTGTGTTGCAATTTTCGGAAAATTTTCTTGGATTGCACGTGTCAGAAGTTAAGTAACGCATGCGCAAAACCGCTTAGATTTGTATCTAGTGATACATTTTTTTAGGTTGAAAGTTGTTGAACCAGTCGAAAACTCTCATTTGGAATTGGCCGAACGACGACTTTTAAAGATGAGCGTTTTAGACGTTTTACTAAAGAAAAAGGATTGGATTCGAAAACAGTCTGTGTTACATCAGCCTGAACACCATAAAGTTTTGCATATTGTCAATCGCACTTCTAAAAAAGACAGGTAAACGGGTAAACATTCTGTGACCACAACTAAAACGCCACTTATGTATAGAGGGCCTAAATTACGCCGTCCTTCGATGTTAGCTACATGTGTAAACATAACCGAACCCGAAGAGGATTGGTACACCGAGGAGGGGGAGGAGGAGGTATCCGACAATGGCAGTTCGTCGAGCACCACATCAAACACCCGCCTCAATGCCAAACATTTTCCGCCCAAACTACGTGAGCTTGTTCCAGGAAATACCGTCGCTGTGGAGGTGCGTTGCGCGAGCTAGTGGCGCTAAAAAAAATCTTTGTCTCGTAGGTATTATGTACAGATTCACGCGTAACTGTCGTCTGGCAAGACGGTACCGAAGAAAAGGATATTCCAACGACTCTTTTGTACTACTCCATCTCCTTAGACGATCACGAATTTTTCCCCGGCGAATGGGTCACTTACGATGGTAAAACCGAAAAGTACGGTGCCATTCAGCACGTGAATCATTTGGAACGAACCGCCACGGTTAGTATCCATCGACGATAGATAAGTCTTAGCCATTCATTTGTAGGTTAAGTGGTTCACTCACGGTGATGGCAACGAAAAGCCCCAGCTTCTTTCAACGAACGAAATGAGCGTGTACGATTTAAGAAAGCATCCGAAATACGCATTCCGTCCAGGTAGTGTGGTAAAACGAATTCCAGTCGAGAGTGAGAGGTTTGGGACAGTTTTGGATAGTTGTCCTGAGGTAATTGCATCCATAATTGATAATTGAATCATTCAATGCATTAAACATACAATAGGAGAAACTTTTTTACTTGAAGACCAATTTTTTTTAATTTCTTGCGTTGATACTCCCCACTGGTACTCAGTACTTACGGAATCTGTAGCCGTTAGGAATACTCACTTCTCGCATTTTTTCTGCCCGCCTATACCTTCGACATGTTCACGCAAGTTAAAGCGATTTTAATTAATTTCGTGGTTTCCCGTCATCGGAAAAATACAGGACCGTTGTCAAAATTCAAGTTAATTAAGAGCGCTTTTTTGGAAATAAGGCCCAGCTCAATCGGGATGCTTTTAGTAAATAGCATTGAAAATGCGCTAAAGTTACTCACCCCAAGACGAAAACCTGTTTACTTGTTAATTTTTATTTTGAGAACATATGACCGTATAGTTCCTTGATTTCAACATTAATGAATTTCTTGTGTCACTGTCACAGTTGTGGCCAGAGTATAATTGATTGTAAATTTTACCTATATTAAAGCGAAGAGCTTATAGAACATCAACTCTACTTTTCCATCGCATATTTGAAAGGGGTTTTAATGTCAAAATAGGTATCGATAGTTATCGATATATCGAATAACAATAGGTAGAACTAAAAAAATCGATATATCGATAACTATCGATACTAATCGATAAGTATCGATATATCGATACCTATCGATATGTCGATAACTATTGATATATCGATATGTCGATAACTATTGATATATCGATATGTCAATAACTATTGGTAGGATAAAATTATGTTATTGTTGAGATTTCAACGAGCGCTACTATTTTTATTAATAAAATCCATTTTCGGGTTTACTCTCGTGTAAAGGTACTATTTTTAGTTGCTCGACGTTTCAGAAACTTAACTTTGCTCCCTTTTTCAAGAGAAGCGCTACGTCACATCATCATCCATGCCAAATCCACGCATAAAAAGCATCAGAATTATATAAAATTGCCTACAATTTCCTAAAGATAAATTTAGCGTATGTTTTAAACCTCACGGTTCTCTACATCTCCTTAGAAATCCCAAAGACAATATCCCAGGTAAAAACAAGGAGTTTACGAAATTTGTTGTACTAATTGTATGAGATCATACATAGGTCAGACTAATAGGAGACTAAATGTCAGAGTTCAAGAGCAGTTGTTGGCAATTAAACATAATACTACATCTTCTTCAGCAACACATCATCTGGACACTGGCCATTATACTGAACCAAACACTATAAAAGAAACGATAGTTTCCGAATTTCGCAAATATGAAATAAAATACTTATCGATAAGTAAAATATATCGATAGGTAAGTCCCGATACTTATCGATAGGTGAAAACAGTTATCGCCCATCCCTATTCATAATCACATGCCAACTAGTACAAGATCCCACATAAGGTCAACTTTCGCTTTGAAATAAACTGATTATGATTATCGAATAATCAGATAATCAATTTTCAAATGCTATGTTTGTCGTAGGGTTACGTCATTGTACACTGGATTAACGGTGTTCAAGAGAACTGTTGGCCTCAAAATCTGGAACTGATACCCGACAGTATCGACTACGAATATTCGATTACTGACAATGAAGATAGCGCACAGGTATCTTGGGAGACCGAAAGTATCGAGTCGATTGCCGGCGATCTCACCGACGAGACTGCTTTACAAAACATGGCCGCGCGTCTCGATTTCGTGCGCGGTCGTGTTACATATCTTAAGGACGTTCTAAAACAGCATAGCTCCAGTCAGTGCTTTTTGGTATCCAACCGTTTGTAGCTTAAATCACGCATTAAACCAAATATTTTACAGCTCTTAAAGGAGTTGCTGATGGTATATGACAATTCCAGTTATTTAGATAAACTCCTAGACACATCATTTTTTACGTTGAAAAGTCGGCACTTTCAGGTGAGTCTCCGTTTGTTTGTCGTCGACTTGAGAAATTTGTGTGTAGGTCCTGTTGGCTCAAATTAAGGAAAAGGCGAAGACGTACGGCGTAGAGTTGCGAGGGAGGTTATTTTCGACCGTCGAAAATCTGGGCTGTTCGTCGACGCGTAGCAAAAATCCCGAAAAGGAGAATATTAATAAGGTTCTGAAATTGGAGCACAAACTTACTCAGCTGGGAGAGGAGACGAAGGATGGCGAAACGAAGGAATCGGGAGGTTAGTATCTACTATGTAAATACTTTTTAGCTTTGTTCAAAATTCTGCAAAATCCAATAAAAATGTAAGAGATGATTGTGCTCCATTGTGTATTTCACTGAGGTAAGTAAAAGTTTCACTTGAATTTTTCACTGCGGGATGCTAGCACATCTATTAAGCTTGTACCTCTTTGTGCAGCAGGTTTCAAATTTTGTATTTCTGCTTTAATCCCTAGGACCAAATCTACATTGAGATAGCACCTTACATCCACAATCCCTATTATCTAGATTCGTATTAGTATTGTAACGTAAATTTAATGTGTTATTTCTTAAAAATACAGTTTAGAACCAGATCTAGCATGTCAAGTCGCGTCACCAGCCGAAAATTGGAGGAAGCAGTCACTGACTTGTCCTATTGCTATAAATAGCGCACCTGAAAATAGAAGGAAGTGTTGGAACTGTTTTAAGAGCAGGCCATAATTTTTCAGGTTGTAGGGTAAAGCAATTTACAAAGTTTTGTTTTAAATGCGGTCAAAAGGGAGTGACAACGTTGACTTCTTTGCGATGTACGGGAAACAGTGTTCGAGACCGGTCAATCAATCATGGAAGGCTTGGGTAATTTTATCGCGTGGGAAGTTCAGGAGTGTTTTTTCCCTACATTGAAGGGTGTCTGTGGCCGCCAACGCTGCACTTGAAATCGTCTGCCATAGCATATTTGAAAACTATGGGAAAAATGGTATTTCTTGTTATAAATCTTTTCCGTGACCCTTATAGTTTAGTAATTTAGTTGATCACCTAAAGAAGACACACATTCAGCGCCGCCCCAACTTAATGCTGCCACTTACGACTGGCAGACGAGTGATTTTATTACTAGTTTTCAACGTACTTTCAGCCTACATTGGCGAATATTTTGTCGCTTATGGTTTAGTTACTATGTACGTTGCCTCCCCGTCTAATAGTCTCATTTCCGGCTAAACGGCCGGACCTATTGAAACCAAATTTAGTACCCATATTCTTAGACATAAAAGGAAGAGCTGAAAAGTTTTTGGGCAGAATCGCGCAGGTATGCGGGTGATATCGGTCTAAGTCACAGCAAATTTATTTAAAAAGATATTCCGAAATAAATTACACATTATTATGGCCACTTCTTTTCGTCTGCAAGATGCTACTTTTAAATTTTAAGTTTGACGTTTCGTCTCTAGTCAACCATCATCAACTTTGTTTTTTCTGATGTCAAAAATGTAAACATCACTATCTTTTAATCAGAAATAGCGCTATTAATTTGTAAAAACACAAGATACTGTATACGTACACTACCTACCCAAGAGAAAGTTTTCTAGGCAAAAAAAGAAGATATTTTAACGTTATTAAAAAAATTGTGATTACATTTTTGAAATTAAAAAAAAATTCTCTATCAAATGACACAAAAAGTAAAAATGACTTCCATAAGAAAAACACAAAGTTGATGATGGTTGACGGGAGACGAAACGTCAAACTTAAAATTTAAAAGTAGCATCTTGTAGACGAAAAAAAGTGGCCTAATAATGTGTCATTTATTTCAAAATGTAAAAAATAAAAACGATTTTACAAACATTCGTTTTTTCAGGATATTTCCAAAAGTAGTGGGAATTTTTTCAGTTTCAAAACTGCATTTTGTTAAGCATCAAAATACGCAACTTTGCCCAATTTAAACTACCAACCGATCTCTTACGGTTCTCGAGATCCTCATGGTGGCCCTCGAATTTGAATCAACTGGTATACTACACTTTTTTGAAGAACCTTAAATATGTTTGTCCAGGAAGATTGGAACGGTCCGTTCACTTAGCTACCGATTGGACCCATAAATAAGCCCAAAAATATACCTCACGTATCTCAAACGGTTTAAGAGATATGCATTTTAGAATGGACCCTTGCATCTCTAAATGTTTAAGAGAAAAATTGACGTTTGTCAAAAACAGTGACAGATAGGTACGCAAATCTTAAATGCGTTAAATTCGGAATAAAATGGCGCAATTAATTACAAAAAACATACCCTATTGGGTCTGGCCCCTTGACCATGCAAAGGTACGCCCTTATCACAAATTAGAATATCGTCAACTTTTTACAATTGTGGGTATAGGTACCATAAAAGAACTTGCAGAAATTGTAGTTTTGAATATTTAATCACTAATCAGTGTTCCAGACAAAATTTCCCCCTATATATGAGGTGTCAAATTTAAAAATTTGCAGTCGGCCATATTTTCCAAACTAAAGAAGATATTGAAAATCGTGCAACCCCCCCCCCCTAACCTCCCAGCCCCCTCTCTTGAAAAATCCTAAATGGCAACCCCATACTTGTGACACATCGTTGGAAAGCTACTGAAAAATGCTTTCCAGTGGTACCAATAAAAATATTCATTAAGACAATTTAACAACAATTTAATAATTAACCAAAAAAAAAAATTAAGCCATGCCTATGTTCAAGATTTGGTCGCTAAATTCGAAGAAACGGGATCTGTTATCAATAAAAAAGAAAACAACCAAGATTGCTTAATGAAGCAACTCAGGTTAAAGGTTGTAGCAGGACATTCAGTCACTGAGGTGGAATAACTATAAATGAATAAACAAAGCTATTATATAGATTCGTGTTAGTATTGTAACATAGCTTTAATGAGTGATTTCTTAAAAATACAGTTTAGAACCAGATCTATCATTCCAAGTCGCGTCACCAGCCGAAAATTGGAGGGAGCAGTCACAGACTTGTCCTATTGCTATAAATAACGCACGTGAAAATAGAAGGAAGTGTTGGAACTGTTTTAAGAGTAGGCCATAATTTTTCAGGTTGTAAGGTAAAGCAATTTACAAAGTTTTGTTTTAAATGCGGTCAAAAGGGAGTGACAACGTTTTCTTTTTTTGTGATGTGCGGAAAACAGTGTTTGAGATTCTCGAGATGCCGGACAGGTTCCGCACCGGCAAATCAATCATGGAAGGCTTGGGTAATTTTATCGCGTGGGAAGATCCAAAATCGTACGGTGCCATGAAAATTTTGGATAAAGAATTTGATTGTTTAGTAAATACAGGAGCCTCGCTATCGTTATGACAAGAGACGCTTATCCTCTTCCATACAGCTCGGCAATATTAGATAGGTTACACGACGCCAAATTCTTATTTTCTTCCATTGATCTTAAAAGTGCGCGTTGTCAAATCAAATTGGACGAGAAATGAAAGGAAAAAACTGCTTTTAGAGTTCCGGGCCGAAGGCCGTTTCATTTTACGCGCATGCGTTTCGGATTACACAATGCGACCGCAACATGGCAAAGGGTTGCAGATAAAACATTAGGATTCGACATATTCGTCTGTCTTGACGACATTGTTATTGCCAAACTTTGAAATTCATCTCAACATTTTAAACACCATACTCAATCAATTAGCTACATACGAGCAAGTTGTATTCACGTACAGCACCATTAAATAATAATAATAATAAACCCGCTTATGCGTGGGACATATCAGGTTCACTCATGGCCACCTCCTACTTGGACAAGTACCTCTAAGATGCCCTCAATGCGAGGCAGATGCATTAACAGTCGCTCACATTATGCAAGAATGCCCAAATCTCTTACCTTACAGGACAAAACATAACTGGCTTACACATGCTATCTGACAGCAAGTAATTTCGGAATGTTATAAATTGTATTAAAGAGGTAGCGCTATACAAGCGTATATAATGTAAATAGGTATAGAAAAATAAAAATTGCAAATATAAACATCCTAAAGTAGAATGTAATAACAAAACCATTGGAGGTGAGCCAATTACCTGCGATGTAGGCGCCGCCCTCATATAATAATAATAATAATGCTTTACTGCCTAACAGAATATCCAATTAAAGGACAAATCACAAGATAAAGTTAATTACATACAAAATACAAAAATATAAGATATACATATACCAGGATTTAAGTAAATTAGGAGAAGAAAAAAATTAATTCGAAGCAGACATTAAATAAGTTAGTAAAAACATTTTTTAAATTGTGTGGTCGGAGGAGACAGAAGCTTCATTTGGGGATATTAAAAAGTGCTTACTTTCATCGCCCATATTAACTTACCCAAATTTTGAAACCTTTTTTTATCCAAACCGTGGCGTCAACAGTAGATCCTTTCATAAAAGTTAGATGGGGCAGACAAGGTTATTGGTTATGCAAGTCGAACATTGTGGGTAGGGGGGGGTTGTAAGAGTTAAACAAAATAATTATATATAATATACATGGCTTCCCTTCGCCAATTGGGCACTTGTATTTCATTCACAAATTTATTACTTCTACCTCGTATCATATTTCATAGAAACAATGATCATCTGTATTTATTTCTTTAGTGCGCTTCGATAACGTTCTAGAACAATCACAACAATTCTAAAGTCGCAAGACGTAATATGGCTTGTGGGATTTTATATATGTCTGTTTTTACAGAACCTTCCGCTGCGACGACGCCGGATAGCGAATGTCCCTCTGTTTCCGACGACAACATCTGCGTCGAGTTGCTCTCTATGATGAAAGTTCGAATGGATCTGGCCTACGCGGAAATAATTTCGCGCATAGGCGGACCTCAGGCGCTAACGGTAATGACGAAAGCGTCCGACGCGTTACCGGTCCCCTCGACTCCCCTACCAAGTCTGCCTACGACGCCCGAGGATTGCTTCTGTTTATTGAATCCGTTAAAGTTAAACAAATCTGTGATTTCTAGTGAAAATGACATATATAAGATTATAGACGAAGCTCACTTTAGCCATCGTTTTTATAGTAGTAAATGTGAACCTAACGATAAGCAAAAGTTTTTCAAGACTGTCCAAAAGGAGTTTAAACTACTGAGGGAGTCCCTTCCGCCCGGTGTTTGGGTGCGTTCTTACGGAAACCGGCTGGATCTGCTTTCCGTGATGATTGAGGGCCCAAAAAACACACCCTACGAAGACGGATTGTTTCTGTTCGACCTTCAGCTCAGTTCTGATTATCCCCGATCGCCCCCTCTCTGCCACTACATCAGTTACAGTTTGGAAAGGCTTAATCCGAATTTGTACGTCGAAGGCAAAGTCTGTATTTCGTTATTGGGGACGTGGCTGGGGCGGGGCACCGAAGTCTGGAACACCAACAGCACCTTGCTGCAATTAATCGTGTCAATTCAAGGCTTAATACTGGTAGCCGAGCCTTACTACAACGAGGCTGGCTACGAGAAACAGATGGAATCGCAACAGGGTTATGAAAATTCGCGAATGTACAACGAGCTTGTTGTTCTTAAACTTGTACAGTCGATGACCGAATTGGCGTTGGCGCCACCGCAAGTATTCGCAAAGGAGATTTATGCATACTGCGCTACGCACGGAGAGCGAATGTGTGATCGTCTGGAGAGGTGGTGTGACGATTCCGAGCCATTAATACCCGAATTTCCCCTGTTACCTGTTAGCAAAGGCTTGAAATTGTCGCTTACTATCGCGATTAAGGCATTTAGAGATGTTTTAAAGAAGACTAATTTTAACGACGCTCAAAGTGTCGCACTGTGAATCTAAAAATTGTCCGTCTTTAGTTTTATATTTAATAAATTATTCCTCGTTCGTATCTGTTCTAACGTTGGAAGAGGTACGTCAATAATCGCTATAGCTTTTACAATATTGTTGGTAATGGTTGTGTTTTCGGTATTTGTTGAAAGTATTAGTAGGTTAGTTAGCTCAGTTCACTACTTACAAGCCAATTTGTTATTGCTCAATTTTAGGCTGTTTCGTTTCCAATGCGTAACACAGTATTCACCCTAACCAAAAAGCAATAGATGGCTCTCGAATATTCTTAGTATTGTTATATTTCCTTAGATTCTAGACAATAATGAAATATATTTTTTTGTATTGTGTTTGTGGTATTAGCTTATTTGGTGCCAAATGTGTTGTCATTCTTTGGCATATGGTGCAAAAATTAAGGCATTTGTATACGTACATTTCATTTCTCAGGGATGTCGATCAGGCTTCACAGACTGCTTTGTGTTAGTTGAGCAATAAATTTTTAAAGGAACAGATACTATGCTTACTGCATTAAAAATTTTGCACAAATGCTAATTTATTATCTTCACTTATTATTCCTATTACATTGTAAGAAAGAAGTTGTTGAAGTAAATTATTGTGTAATGTTGAAAACTATTTCTCTAGTTACCATTTTTAATGAAGCTACTGTAAGAAATTTTATAGTGGTTATAAATGCAATAAAACTACTTTGTTGTCCATTTGTTCTCTCTTTGCTTTACACTTCCCTAGTTGAATTGCGGTCTTGGGTCATGAAATTAAAATCGTGAAGTGTTGAAATGGAAATAGCTTATGAAGGGTTAAGAAAATGATCAATACAACAATCGCGTGTTTTAATGTGAAATAGGTAATGGCACTTTGAATTTTGTTCAACATAGTACACATATACCGTTTCATAGCGAACGTGAGCAAAAGTATGTCTGGAAATACAAACGATAATTCAACGTGTGCATTTTCGAGATAAAACGCTAGTGAGGCCGGGTTGTAAGGAGGCTTTCGGCAGACGAGGTTAGAATTTCCTAGCGTTGGCGTGTGAGGATTTTATTTTCACATAATTGCGATAATTCTAAACTAATTTTCGCCAGCGAGCACGCATACCAAATTATTGTTCTTCGTTTATTTCACGTAAATACAAAAGGATTTCGTTTAACTTACGTACATATACTGGTCTGAGAGAAGATTGATTCGCAATATGTGGTTTAGCTGTATATGTGAACCATTGAAATAGAAGAAGAAGGGTTACCTACATATAACGTACGCTTGTTGAGATCCAATTAGGCTTCTAATGGTTAGCTGTAAATCGTGTAATATAACAAAGTCAAAAGCTAAGAAAAGAAAAATACATTTCATCGGTGGTAACCATGTTTTATTTCTTAAAATGGTCTTCTTTCAAGATACCTACTTTCATTCAGTTGTTGTACAGATCCATTTCCGTAGCAATAGCATTTTGAAATATATCTACTCTTCAGATTTGCTTTAAACAGTGGTAGATGGATTTTGTTTATAAGAAATCGTGAATCTATCTGTAGTAAAATGTATGTAATTTTCAGTAGGTACTATCATTGTATTTATAAATACAATGGTACTATCCTTCACAAAATATTAATTTTAATTAATACCTATATTAAATGTGCGTACACCACTGTGCGTATGAACGTCCGACATATTGAGAAGCCTAATAGGATCCTAGCTAATAATACATAAGCTCCTTCCTTAGTCTTTTATTTCAATGGTGTGAAGATTTGCAATTGACGTTCAAGAAGAACAAGTTAAAAAGTAATCGTAAACGATTTACATAAAGCGCATTTCCACTTGCATTCATTTCCCATTTGTAAGATGCAACTTCTGTTAAAATCGTAGAAATCCGGCCACAAATATGAAAGATAGCATTGCACATGGGCAATCCATTGTTGACGTGCTACTTCAATTTCAGTTTATGAGAATTTTCATTTCAATGCTTTTCTAAATAAGAAAGTTGGAACTGCGCATGCGCAAACCTAAATTTTAAAACTAATGTTAGATTTTCCTTTGTTCCAAGCGCCTAAGTATCAAATTTCACTTAAATAGTTCCATAGATAAAAAGGTGGCACGGCGCATGCGCAAATTAAAATTTTGAAACTGGCGCTAGATTTTCCTTTATTCCAAGTGCCTATGTATCACATTTCATTAAAATTCTTCCATAAATAAAAAAGTTGGCACTGCGCATGCGCAAAACCAAATTTTGAAATTGGCGTTTGATTTTCCTTTATCCCAAGTGCCTATGTATCAAATTTCGTTTAAATTCTTCCATAAATAAAAAAGTTGGCACTGCGCATGCGCAAAACCAAATTTTGAAATTGGCGTTTGATTTTCCTTTATCCCCAGTGCCTATGTATCAAATTTCGTTTAAATTCTTCCATAAATAAAAAAGTTGGCACTGCGCATGCGCAAAACCAAATTTTGAAATTGGCGTTTGATTTTCCTTTATCCAAGTGCCTATGTATCAAATTTCATTCAAATACTTTTATAAGTAAAAAAGTTTGCAATTCGGTTTATAAATGGTCGAGATGCGAAAAAGGCACTGTGAATTTTGAATCGATTCGATTCAACTTTTGGCATTGCGTATTATATGGCTAAATCTATGCCCATAATGAATTTCATGCAATTCAGTTCATAACTAACGGAGATGTAAAAGCGATCGAACATTTCTAAACAAAGTTATCGTTCACACGGACAGATATATGGACAGACAGACAAAGGAACAGACGGAGAGACCAACCGGCAGGCGACAGATAGCAATGCAAAATTATAAACGATCTCTAGGATCGTTAATAAACGGCAAAAGTGTACAATTATGGAACATGTAAAAAACGGTTTTTTGTTTTTTTTACAATAACTTTTTTTGTAAGCGGTACAGAAAAAATTCCTTCCTTGTTACAAGACTCGACACCATAACGAACCAAATAGCGAAAAAAGTAGAACAATAGCTCTTAAGATAAAAAACTAGTAGCGTCGCAAAGTTAGCGGACGGACGGACGGACAAAGTGGCCACAATAGCGCATTTTTTTTTATTTTTGTGGAAATGCGCTAAAAACGTACATTTTATTCAGTAAAATTCATACAAATAGTAGTCAACAATTAGCAGTTTAACTTCGGGTAGAAACATAAGCATCGAGAAAAAACATTATTAGCCAGGTTGCGGACAGCATTTTCCGTTATGTTAGACGGCCATTTTTTCTTATAACATAAGAAATATAAATTTTAGTAGAAATAATTTACGGTATGAGGGCTTTTTGTACGATATATTTATAAATAGCGGAACCAATGAAAATGAAGTTCTTATAATGTGTCACTGCGCAGTACGTAATCACTCATAAATAACATTTTCCTGCTAACCTACAATTGTGTAGTGTTTATGTTGGCGGTAGTTCTTTTCTTTTTGTCTAAGAGCATAGTAGTGAACTTTGGACATTTTAACACAATGTAAAATAAAAGTGAGGTTAAGACACCTTCAAACTTATAAGCAAAATTGAACACGCCCAGCACACACCGCAACTTAACTTTGCTATAAAAATGTTTTATACTTATAAACTTATATTATAAGGAAAAATGGCCGTCTAACATAACGTAAAATGCTGTCCGCAACCTCGCTATTATCACCGAGCTAGCCGTGGGTAAAAAAAATTAATTGTCATTTTTTGTCAATACCATGGACAGGCAACCTTTTTTTCCAAGGGACCAAAATAGTTACCTATTTGTACTAGTTTTGATACTTTTTTTCATGAATTTGCAGTTTGATTAATGAGGGCGAAGCCCGAGTTAATCAAGCAAATTCATGGAAAAAAGACACTTTCAACACGTGTTGTACAGGAAATTTTTTTGCATAGTGATCCATAATACCCCAAAATTGAATAATTTTATTGACATTCGCGATTTACTGTCACTCAAAAATGGATGCTATTGTTCATAAGCGCGGTTTAGACGCTACACAATTTATCGTAACGATCGAATCGTTACGATTTATCGTTGCGTGTGAACAGAGGATTGTAGCGATTTATTGGAATTGGAATTGGATTGGATGGTTGACGGTGGCCGGCTTCAATTTCTGCGAATCGTAGCGATAAATTGGAACGTGTAAACAATAACAGCTATTTATCGCTACGATTTATTGTGACTAATGTTGCTGAAGTGAACCATTTTTGTATCCATTTGGGCTACTTGGACTGTCTCTAGCGCACACGTTTTACATTTGGCGAGTGGCGATCAAGTTTGGCCACCCAAAAAAAAATATTTAGGGACACATGGCTGGTCAGAAATCATAATCGAGATTAAGATTCTATTGTAAGCAAGCAATGTAAGCAATAAAGTGCGAGTATAATTTATATTAGTGGACAGAACCAAAAGACAAGTTGAAAAGTAAAAAAATAAAAACTGTATTAAACCGTGATCGACAATTAGATTGGAACAAGAAATCGTTACATGTAAACAGTGCGCACTTTTTCGATTTATTGAACGATAAATTGGACAATCAGATGGTTACGATTTATCAAAGCCAAGATCGTAGCGTCTAAACCTCGCTTTAGACAGGACTATAAACTCCATGGAAACGCATAGTAAAAATCGTGAAAAAAAGTACCACTTTCCATACGATTTTTCGTTAAAAAAAGTCCGATTTCATCACTATGTAAAAATAAAATTTTTCATATATGCGCTACGGGCTACAGTTGTAAATCCAAATAAAAAGTATGTTTAAAGAAATTAATAATTATCTATTTCTTTTTGGTCTTGACCTATTTTTTGCTTTCGTAAAAATCATTTAAAAAAAAAAAACAATATGTACTCCTGAAAATTGACACGATTTTTCATACAAAATTTACCAGACGTAGATAATGAATCCTCATATTCAGCATGTATCCAAATTTTCATTTATGCTCTTAAGATTTGTTGCAAAACATTTATTGGCCCGGTATATATCGCGAAGAAAATTCTGGAAAATACTTGGCGATATCTGAAACAAGAAATGCGTCTTCAAAGAGGCTTTCAAACGTCTTGGAACCTTTGGATCGCGTCCACTAGATGCTGCACGTGTAACATAATCATATTAATTAATTCTTTCGATGTAATGTAACTTGGCGGACCGTATATGAAGTAAACTATGAATTTGTTAGCGGCCCGGACAAAACTAACCGGTGAGCCGTGAGTTGCCCATATATGCCATAGAGGTTCAATTTTATTTTATGCAAATTAGGTCTTCGACCCTTGTAAATGTAACTGAGTCGATACAGTATCCAGGGGAGGAACACAAAAAAATATGTATAGGTATGTACCTAATAATGACTATATTCCCTCCAAAACT